AGACTTTATTCGACCAGCTACATTCTGCCTATACAAAGCTGTAGTTTAAATGTTTCAGGAAGAAAAAGGATAACATTTTACACAACAGATTTCTAAATCATCTATTACGTTTACTTGAAACCATGAAACTCAGTGCCGTCATGTTTATGTCCACTCATAGTGACCCTGTAGGACCGGGTAAAACTGTCCCTTGAGTTTCTCAGAGTGCACCTCTCTGAGGGTGGAGCCAGCCCTGTCTTTCTCCTGTAGACCCAGAGGTGGCTTTGAGTTCCTCAATTTGCAGTTAGCGGCCCAGGCATCACCTCTAAGCCACCAGGGCTCCTTAAAAAAAAAGCAGAAATAAAAAAATAAACAAATGTATGTGTTTACATTTACACACACACACACACACTATTTCATGTATTACATTGTGTGTGCCCCCCATATGTATCAATATGAAAAGGTTGTGGTTTCCAATAATGTTTGATCATTCTTCATTTGTGATGTGTTGTAAATCCTAATCTATATATATTAATGAGACAGATCATCATTGGTATGTCTTGAGATACAATCTTATAAGTTCCACCATTATTCATTTTCAAGTTTTATTTAAGTCAACACTTTAATAAACAGGTCAAATCCTTGCTTCGGTCACATCCATTATCTTATAACTGCAAATTGAGGAGCTTGAAGCCACCTCTGGGTCTACAGGAGAAAGACAGGGCTGGCTCCGCTCTCAGAGAGGTGCACTCTGAGAAACTCAAGGGGCAGTTTTACCCGGTCCTACAGGGTCACTATGAGTGGGCATAAACATGACGGCACTGAGTTTCATGGTTTCAAGTAAACGTAACAGATGATTTAGAAATCTGTTGTGTAAAATGTCATCCTTTAGCTTCCTGAAACAAGGGAGACAAGATTAGGGAAGTGGACTGATAAAGAAAATTCAAGAGTGGAGAACAGCCTTGGGCCTCAGAGTTCCTCTGCTGAGAACCCTTTAAACCCACAGGAAGCTTGATGTCAAAGCACATAAGAGTTCTCCAAGTAATAGTAACTTCAGATGTTGAAAGGGATAAAGGCTTTCTCCCAGAACTGGAACCCTAAGTCAGATTTCAAGCCTCTTAAACTGCGACAAGATAAATTTTATTACCTGGGGCTATAAAGGCTAAATATGTAGGAAAAAACAAGAGTTGATAGAGTAGGTGGAGAAAAAATGATAGCGTAAGTTATGTGTGCTTGTGTAGGGGAGGGTGTTTTAATACATCAAAGAGTATAGAAAAAGAAAAATAATGAGGGTTTCACTTTTTAGAAGTGAGAAGAAACCTGGTGTTGGATTTGCAAAAAGACAAGTTGGTATATTTACGTAGAAATTTGGTAGTACTACTAATATGCTACAAATATCAAGACAGAGCTTGGCATATTGAGGTGGTTCTTGCAGAAGGAAATTGCTTGGGAGAACTTGATAAAGAAATTTGTTGCTGATAGAATAACTGAGGAACCCTGTGTGTACAGATATGCCATTTACATGTATAACCACTCAGCATAATTCTACTTAAGTATTTCAGTTTTTGTCTGAGGTCTATACAAAAGCTATCGAGGTTATACTATTTCATATTAACTATATCGCAATTAAATACATATTTTCTATTTTAAAAACATTGTGCTGTTAACAATACTATTTTTGTATATTATTTACATTGGTGTAAATCTTTAACATGTAGGAGTATAAGAAGGAGAACACTATTTTTCTAAGGGTAAGTATGTTGATCGCACTGAAATGAAGGACACAGTCATAAATCAAGACAATTGAAAATAGATTCACCAGCAATCTCAAAACAAAATAAATAAAGCTAAAAATTATTCCCCCAGTTTAGAATGAGACAATAAAATGATAGCTATTATAAACATTAGTTACACAAGGATATCTAGAGTGTTATCAGAGAAATATATGCATAGCTAAAATAATAAAGTATAGAGTAAAAAGAGCACTAATGGAGTAGGTATAAAGTGCTTTCCTGCTAACCAAAAGGTTGGAAGCTTGATCTTGCCAGTTGCTAGGGGTGAGAAAGATGCAGTAGTCTGTTTCTTAAAAGGAAACTCTATGTGGTAATTCTGCACTGGTCTAGGTCACTATGAGACAGAATCTGTGGTAACTGGTAATGGGTATAAAGCAGGCAGGAGCATGATTCCCTTTTATTTAAAACATAAAAGAATTAATGCATTCCTTGAAGACAAGGAACAAAAATGTTAGCTGCTAATCACCTGCTGGGAACTTAAATGCATTGCCTGAACACTTTCTTATCACTATCTGACTGACAGAAACCAGTTTAGTGAATTTTGATGAAAGAGTCAGGGTGTCCAAGATTCTGAGAAAAAGGAGTATTTCTTTTATACTGTTTTTCATTAACTCTAAGTTAAACAAAATGCACAGAGAAAAACAACTTGCAAATATTTTACAAATGCCTTTAAAATATATCTCAATAATATCTCATATGCTTGAAAATCACTATAAAACAGAAACGGGATCTCATTTGATAGCGCATCACTTTTTTCTACATTCTTTTTTTTTTTTTGCAATCTGCTGCCAATGAAAATGCAAACATTAAATTTAAACGGAAAATTCAACCCAAATTTAAAACAATGAACATAGTTAAAATTACTTTTTAAAAATTAATAGAGACACATTTTACCATAACTGTTTGGCCTGTATTTTTCTGTTTTGTTTTGGGTCCAGCCTGACTAGACAAGAAAAACTAACAGTAAAATAACTCAACAGCCAATCCTTAGGTGAGTTTTCCACCCTAGTTAATTTAGGCTACTTTTCCATTCCCACACCTTTAGACCATCTAAAACCAGAGGTATCTTCTCTAAGTATCTTGGAAGATATTACAGAGAAAGCTTTTATTGTAATTCCTTGCTTGCTAAACTACCCCTCTTTTATAATTTTAAGGCTCAACTATGCCTCTATGTCTTACCTATTTTTTCTTTAAAGTCTAACTGAAGACTCACTTGATTTTTATCAGTTCCAGTCCATAATATACTAGTTTATTTTTTTCACTCTGTTAATATATTTTGGAACAAATCATTTGCTGCTCAATATACTTCTTGAAACACATACACACACGTCAACAAATCATTTGCTGCTCAATATACTTCTTGAAACACACACACACACACACACACACACACACACACACACACAC